GGCACTCGGTGCTAAAAAGGTTCTCCATCACTGTTCTAGAGAAATGTTTTTTTTTTAAAAAAAAACACAGAACATGTAAAAATTATATTCTCCCCTGTTTTCTAGCTTCCTTTTGTAAATGGCATGAGCAGTAAGTAGATTTCAAAAAGACACCTTATGATGTAATTCTGTACCTAACCTTTAATTAAAAAGACAGAGTCTTTGGATTGTGGGATGGAGAATAGGAGGTGCAGAGTGGGAAAGGCATCTGGGACTACAAAGCATAGCAACCTTGTAATTAAAACTGTCTGTGTGTGTGTGTGTGTGTGTGTGTGTGTGCATGTGTGTGTGTCCTTAAAAGCAAAACTGATATGGATTCTACCCCAAAGGTATAAAAAAGTGGTGAGCCTGTCTGCTGAATGATTATAATTGCAATAACTGTTTAAATTCATCAATATGTCTTTGAAGAGGGAGTTGCCGCCTCCTAACCCCCATTGTTCTTTCTTCTCTTACATATTCAAGTTGTAATTGAATATTACACTATACAACTGGGGGTAATTGCAACAGTCTGAAACTGATGAACTATAAAACAAAGTTGTACTGTGTTTGTATAACATCTGTATATTTTGAATTATCTGTGTTGTACTTCTTTTACTTCCTTTTCTTTTCTTTTATCCAATGTGGTTTGGGGATGTGTGTGTTCCAAGCTTTAAAGCACAGCAACAAAATTGGTATAAATGCACCAGGATAAGCTTTCCATGATGTGATAAAACAACGACAACAAAAAAAACCCACTCTCTGCTTTTGATTTTGTTCCTATCAGTTGCAAATCCACTGTGACGTAAAGGGCTATTGTAAGTTCTGACCTGCATGAAAGTAGAAATTACCTTGCAAGTCAGGGTTCTCATTACTGTGTATTTTGCTATTTTTATAATTTCCCAATTTAGTTTTGCCTGTTCCAGGCAACTTGTTCCATTTTCCAGAATCCTGCAGAGTGGGTTAAACCAGTGGTCTCCAACCTTGGCAACGTTAAGACCTGTGGACTTCAACTTCCAGAGTTCCTCAGCCAGCAAAGCTGGCTGAGGAACTCTGGAGTTGAAGTCCACAAGTCTTAACGTTGCCAAGGTTGGAGACCACTGGGTTAGAGTAAATGAATAATTCCTGAGCTCTATGTCTCAGGTAAACATTTAAACCTGACTCTCCTCACTTCTATTCTTATCCTTTTCTGTGCCCAATAAAAGAATACCTTAGTCATCTCCACCTGCAAACAATAAGACCAAATAATGCAGAACATTATTCTTATTAAAAAAATGTTCTGAAAGTCAAACATAACTACATCCCACCAGCTTCCTTGAAAGTATCTTGGCTTTCTCTCTACCACTCCAGAATAGGTTCTGTGAACCTACAGTCTCTTGAAGATCTGTCGAATAGAAAGCTTTCGTTGAGATGGATTGGTTGTGAAATGTGAGGGACATATTGAAGTACACTGTCCTTAAAAAAGAGAGGTGGGGGAGAAAAGAGAAGGCAAGCATCCTACTTGCTGAATGGAAGAGACTCAAATTATGCTCAGCTGGTTTAGTTCACGCTGTGACCCTGCCTGGCTTCCTGCTATTCAGATGTGTTACTTCCTTTTTCCAGTAATGGCCTGTGGCACTCAGCCAGGGAACATTATTAATTTCAGAAGTGGCCTGACAGCAAAACCACAGCAAAAAACGAGAGGAAGTAGCAGGGAGGCCATCTGTTGGTTTCGGCAGAACAGTAGGAGCTCAGCTCCATAGGCTCAAATGAGGAAAGCAGATTAATAATCCACAGTGAGGAAACTGTGCTAAATTTATCCACAGAGCATATTAAAAAAAAAAGAAGAGTGAGTTGCAGCTGGACAGGAAATTGCTGGAGCAGCTTTCATTTCTTTTTTGCTTTGAATGACACTGGACAGAGACAGCAAAGGAAACCCTTGGTCTTAGGTTACATTCAGGGTTCTTCCAGAGTGATGACTACAGATCCAAAGGCATTGTGTGATTTCACATTTGTGGACAGAAAAGGAAGAACAAAAAGGCTTAAAGTAGATAGCCGTTCTTGTTGCTTGGTTCTATATATTAACCTAGGGAGGAAAGAACACCTTTGTGTACAAACATTAAAGCAAGGTATTCTGCAACTCGTTTTATTTAGCTTTGCTTGTGAAATAAACTCACCCCACCATTGATGCTTTAGATGCTTTTTTCTATTCAATTTCAGGTAGCCCAACTATCATTTTTCGTTCAGCAGAATTTGGGGCTGAAATAAACAGGAAATTGTGGTGCAAAACTTTTTCATGGTTTTAGTTTTTGTTGACTTTTATCACTAGAAAGAGAAGCAATTTAATTGAAGAATCTTGATGTTAACACATTGGTTACATATGGTCTGCTTTCTTCCTCTGTGTTTAAATTTTACTGCTCAGCTTTTGCTACATCATCAATTTACTGCTTGGTCCCAATGGTATGTAAATGTTTTATCTAAGATACTGAACAAATTTATATGAAATGAAAGTTGTATCCCATGGAAAGTAAAGAGTTTCACAGAATCCCTCAATTAAACATCCTGTTTGTAAAGCCAGTCAGATCTTAGAAAGCCTTAAAGTAGCATTTGAAGAACTTTGGTAATGTAGAGTATTATTTCACATTCAAATTCTAAAGAAAGATTATATAATAATCATAGCTAATAACTATTTTCCCACATCCATTAATCTATCTCCATCTTTTATGCCATTAATTGTTTGCCTCATTTTATGATAGCAAATCCTACATACTGGTATATTCTGTAAAAAAAAAAAACACCTTTTCCTGTTTAATTGGATGCAACTTCCTAAAAATCAGCTACGGTAATAATGAATAATACTTATTAAGCTTCTGTGCTGCCCAATTGCTAGTGAGTTTTCACTAATTACAAAAAATATTTGAAACAAGAAAACAACACAAAGTAAAAAACTGAGTAAAGATGGCAGAGATTACACATCCAGATAGTAATAAAATAAAAAGAATACAAGGATTCAATCATACTCACCAAAAGCCTTGGTGAAGATCACTGTCCAGATACTCAACAGCCCCATGTGTTCAGCATTGAGCCAAAAGATATAATTAGGTATCATCAGCATACAGATGATACTGAACCCCAAACAGTGGATGGCTTCACCCAGCAGTTTCATATAGAATTTGAAATGGTGGGGAGAGAGAACAGAACCTTTCAGCAACCCACAAAGGCCTGGAGAACTATCTTTCCCCCACCTACCAATACTGAAGAAGCTGACCCCAGAAAAAAAAACAAGAACCACTGTAAAATGGTGCCCCAAATCCCCAATACACAGATCTGGTTTAGGATATTATGGTCAACCAACTGAAATTAAATTGAAAGCCAAGAGATCAAGGAGCACAAGGATGGACCACCACTGTCATCTGGCCTCTACTACAGATCAGCAAGTAAAACCAAAGCTGTGTCATTAAAATGTAAATTACTCATTGAGACTTCAGCAGTCTGAAATATCCCAAAGTACCTCACCTGCATTGTTTTTAAAAACAGCACAGGCACTTTTCAAGCAGATCTTATCAAATGAAGTATGACGGCTGGTGGAAGATAGTCCCTACTCAGTTTGTGCCAGATGTGATACTTGAGAGTGACTTCCTCATCTGCAGCTTAGGGTTTTGAGCTAACAAAGAATGTTAGCCTACTGGGAAAGGTTTATTTGAAAGAGAATTTTGTACTGTGGCATGAAAAGATATTGAATTGACAGGGTTAGATTAAATTAAAATATTAGCTAAAATAAAGTTGGACTCTATTAAATGTTTTAATAGAGATGCTGCGAGGATGCACAATACCAACTTTGCATTCAGTTTATTTGAAAGCAAAAGAATTCAGTAATAAGCTGATGCTGCAGATATCTTGTAAATAAAATGTGATAAACAGGAATAAAATCTCCTCTAAATAAATGGGAAGCAACTCTTCCCCCAAATAAAATTAGGGAAATATGTACAGCTTTTGGTAATTATTACAATGCTTGGTATATGAATTCACTATTGGAGCACTATTTTGAGCATGGCCTTTCAATGGCCTTCATTTCCAGTGAAGGATTTCCCAAGACCATCTCCATCACTGTTTAACAACTCTTCCCATTAGGATTTTTTAATTTTTTAATTATCCAACCAACATCTATTTCCTCGTTAATTACAACTTACTTCTTCCCTTTGCACACAATAACTTTCCAGATACTTGATAACAGTCATGTGCCTACTCTTTTCCAAACTAATGATGTCCAGTCACCTTTACTGAGTTTCTCCAAGCCCATCATCTTCGCTGCTCTCACCTGGACACACTCTAATTTGCCATCTTCTTAAAAATGAATATTCTGGATGTGGTCTAATCAACATTGGATAAAAAGATTGATGATTTCATTTGACCCAAGACTTAAGTTAACTGAGCCCAAGGCTGCATTTACTTTAATTGCATCATGACTGTTTAACATTCAGTTTCTGAGTCATTAAAATACCCAGATCCTTTTCTTCTAATAATTGTATTGTTAGAATTGGCCTTAACAAGGCATACTTCAGGCAAGGTAATTCACTAAACAGTAGTCTTGCGGGCAAGAAACACTGATTATTTTCAAAAGAATTATCTTTCAAAGTATGTACAAAGTATGTATGGCCCAAATATAAGGATGTAGACTCCTACCTGAACTTGCACTGAGCACACATCCCAATGAAAATAATGCAATGAAGACTGACACGCTTGTCAACCCTGCATCTCCATTAAATGAAGCACATAAAAATGTAGCTGTGCCCAGAACTTATTTTCTGATTCAGTCTGAAAGATTTTTTAGAACTAAAATATATGCAAACTTTAATTCCTCTTTTTGTAGATGACAAGATGGTCCTGGCTTTTGGGGTCACTTATGAACATTCTTACATAATACATAAAACAACCTGGTTTCTCAATAACCAAAATAAGTCATTTATTAATAATTTAAATTCTTACATACTGAGAATAACATCTCGACTTCATACTAGCAAATTTGAGACTTTCTCTTACTGACAATTATGTGCAGGATCTTCTTGCATTTACACAGGTACACAATATTCACACACCCTTCCAGTTTTCTACAAAAATAAATGCGAGATATTGCATTTGAGGTGAAGCTCCCTGAAGTGTTTGTACACAGGTAATGCACTGTTTAGCATTTATCATATATATATCCTTCCATTTTAAGAAATGATTTTCCATTTTTAAAGTATGCAACAGGGATTATTTATAAAGGTAAGACTCCTACTCCCAAAAATCATGAGACCAGTTTCATCACACACACACACACTCCAAAATAAAAATCATGTAACTGTAAAACAGACTATTCATTCACAAAATTGAATAAACAAACCCAAAGGGGTCAACATTCATTTATAACCCAAGAAAGTTTGCCTAATTCTACAATAAAATTAAGCATGCTGCAGATGATGTGTCATTTGTGCTCCAAAAGAACTTATCACTGGAGAATGTAGAGAATACATTTCAAGCATTCCTCTTGCAACTTTCATTTCAGTCATCTGAGATTGAAAACATTTACATTGATCAAGCTGAGTATATCAAAGGTCTTTGCAAACAGATATTACAAAATACATTAAATTGAAATCGCTCTTTGGCTTCCCTAAATCAGTATTAATAATAATAAAAAATCAAGTCTTCACTGAAGACAAAATATATTATAAATGCACATAATACATTTCTCCCAGTGTCTCACACACATGGATGTGTACTTATAGTGTTCATTCTTGCCCATCTTTGTTTGGCAACCCTATATTTTAAGTCACTGCTTAAGTGTCTTTTGTGCATGGAGCACAATGTATTGTCCCACTTGAAGCGGTATCTGTCTTTTTTCCTGCTGGGAAAACCCAGCAAAATCCCTCATTTTCCAACAGCAGATTCCAAATATTGTAACCTTTATTGTGTTGAATCAGAGACAGCTACTGCCCAAACCCAGGGCCCACAAAAGAATTGCAGTTCTCTTTAGCTGTCAAGAGAGAAGCATTGTGGAATGCTCACAATACCCAGTGTTGGAAGAATTGGTGATCAGTTGGGCCTCACGTAGATTGCAAAGAGTCCACCTGGAAGACGTTTTGATTGGAAGGAGTGGTAAAATATAGTTGCTGGGTGGGTATGCGATTATCACAGGGGCTATTCAGCCCCAGAGTCCTTTCAAAGTCGAGCAACTGTCCCATGAAATTAAAGTTGGGGGAGATGTTAGATTTCTTCATTTTGACTATATCATAAGCATCATTCATGGATAAGTTGAGTTTTTGCATAAGATATGCAACTGTGACGGTAACCGAGCGACTGATCCCTGCCAGGCAGTGAACAAGCACCCCACAATTTTTCCCACGAGCTTCATCTGTTGGAAAAAAAGACAGACAAGAGACTATTAAGTCATACATTTGTTTCCTGTTTCGTATAACTGAGTACCTGATGTGAGATGAGACATCAGTGAATTGCTGTTGTAATTTATTAAAAACCTCCTGTACATTCTCATGCCTGGGTTTGAATAATATTTTAATACTTGGGTTTTCCATTCCCAAAAGCCAACTACATCAAGGAAATAAAAGATTTCAAACAGGTCATTCTAGATCTTCCTATTCAATAAAGCATAAATATTCTCTGATGTTAAAGGCAAATGTTGAAATTACATGGTGCCATCTTTACTGGGCTGTATAAAACTCAACCTATATATGCACAACTAAAATGTCCACTACTCTGTGCATAGACTGAACTACTTTCTTGCAATGAAAGTTCAGTCTATGCACATAGAAAAGTAGTTATGATCTATTTTTGCCTAAATGTCTGATCTAGCAATCTTTTAAAATCAAGGTTTAATTAAAGAATATCTTTTAACTTTTTGGAATAATCCTAATAACTGTTTGTTTCAAATAGAATACTAAAGGAAGATCCTTGTAATTTGGCTGGTTATATTTACTAGCTGCCTGCAAGAATTCTTGGTAAAATCACATTCTAAATGGAATTGGAAAAGGAAGCAGAAGTATTTTATAGAAATCATTTGTTGTAGAAACTTGGTCAGATACAGGAGTTTAGATTGCATTTCGCTGATAAAATGAAATAAAATTTCAATAGGAAGGAAGAAATGAATCCTCCTCCAAACTCCTATGTATTTCATTTGGGTTTGTTTTCAAAGGTCTATTAAATGCTTTTACAAGGGTAGTGCACTGCAGTTGAACAACGAAAGTATTCAGCTGTTTTTAAAGGGGGGGGAGAGATACCCAGAAGTCACAGGGGACAACCCATTAAGAGAAACAGGATGTCAACATGGCTAGAAAATGGATTCCTTTGTCATAAGAAATACATTATAATGCCTGGAGATTTACAGCTCCCACCCCACAAATTCTTCTTACTGAGCTCAAATTACCTATATTCTTCTTATTACTACTACAGTTCCTTCAGATTACAATACAGTATTCATTGACAAACAAGGGCCTGGCAAAATGAAAGAAGTCCAGTGTAACTGGATCATTTCGCAAAGAGTAGAGAAAAAAAAACAAGTGTTCGTGTCTAGTGCTACTTGAGAGTATATCTAATACTGTGTGTTTAAGACAGTGTTTCTCAACCTTGTCAACTTGAAGATGTCTGGACTTCAACTCCCAGAATTCCCCAGCCAGGAATTCTGGGCGTTGAAGTCCAGACATCTTCAAGTTGACACGGTTGAGAAACACTGGTTTAAGAGCTAGTATTCTCAAGAAAAGACATGTTTGAATATATTTTAAGAAATTCACTAAACCAGGATTGCTTAGCCAATGTCCTACAAGCATTACATCCATGATGGGGGCAGATCCAAATTATAGTAATTATTTGAATTGAGGCTGATTTCATGATTTAAAAAAGGATGCCATAAGCATGCAACATAACCTCCATGCTGACTCTTATGTAAATTTTGAATTTGATGAGATTCACTTCAATCAGAAGCATCTGGAAGTTTTGAATTTAACATTTGATGACATATATTTCTAAGATAACATACATAAGATTGAAATCACAGACAAAAATATTTGGTCTAATGAAATTAAGCAATCAAGCTAAATTAAGATTAAAAAGTATAACTGCCTGGACTATTTCTATTTTATGGTACTGTTCTGCCTCAAAGTGTTGCTCACTTGAAGACCAAAAGCACAAAATGCAGTCTGGATGGAAATCATTCTTCTTAAAAAGCATTTATTAAAACCTAAAACCGTGACAGCAAAAATAAAGCCGCCACCCCCACACACACCCTAGGATATCTCTTTTCCTTATCCATTTTCACAAGATAAATAACTAAAGCATCAACTGTACACTGTACATTGAGATTATGCCAGCCGAAATGGATTAGGAGACATCTCTTGTGATCTGAAACATTTGTGCAAAAAAATGCATATACAGCGGTCTTTGGAGAAGGCTTGCTGCTAGTAACATAAAAGTGCTACAAAAGATAGTTAGGAATCATTTTTCAACCTTACCTATAAAAGAGATTGCTTCAGGAAAGAACTGGGATAGATTTTGGCTCCAATGATCAGAGATAGGGATCTGCTTGTACTTAAACTCGCCAGCATTTTCGAAGAGGTTGGGCAGGTTGGGGGTGACATTCAATATGTACTTAATGCCAAACTCTTCAAGAACATCCAGGTTAGTAGAGTCCTTGGCGCAGCCCAAGTAGAGGTATGGCAAGATTTCCACAGGGAAGGAAGGCTGGTTGTTAGACAAAGGGCTGCCATCAGAGTCGGTGGCACTGTTAGGATCTCGGTCAATATCGGATTCCACATCTGAAGATGAGTCAGAGCTGATTCGGAGACCGCCCAGCCCTAAGACTGGCAAAGGCGGAGAATTGCTGCTACAAGAACTGTCTAGATTAGTTTCGCAATGCAAGGCATACTCTGCCTGAAATCTGCAGAAACCCCCTGGGAAGAAAACAAAAAGAAAGGGTTGAAATTAAAGACACTTCCCATTGGAGCTGCTATAAACTGCTAGAGCCAGATGTCTGAGGACACTTTATGGTTTAAAAACACTAGAAAACTGAAAAGGCACTGATGCAGCTGTAAAAAAAAAAGCCCAGGAGATATTAGTGAAGGCTTTGAAATATTTCTCTACTGTTTAGTGGAATAGAAAAGCTATAGTGTCCCTTAGTATAATGAAATCTAGGTAACTGAATTCGAGGCCATCCACCCTAACAGCTGATCCAACAGCTGCTGCACATCAACTATTAACTCAGACCTTTAAGCCTTTAAAGAACCTATAGTAAATTTCCAATCGCTTAAACATTCAGATGCTTTTATCAGAGCTCTCACATATGTCTCCCCTGTTAAGCAGGCAGTACAAGGTGCTAAAAAAATTCAAACCCTACACACCTTCCCTGTGGCTTCAGCTCCCCACATCTTAATAACCTTCAAATAGCAAAGCTTATGCTACTCCAACCAGCAGGAAATGATAGCATGCAGAGGGATCAAGAACTGTAGTTCATCACTGATCCGGAAACTGGATTACATGATCTGTAAAGTACCTCTTTGGATGGTATCAGGTTAGGAATGCCAGAGAGCCACTCACTGGCTTTTCAAACAAAGATGCAGTAGGAACAATTGGCTGTTCCTTAAGGGCACCCTTTGCTTGAAAAGATTTTCTTACCCTACAGAGCCTATAAACAGCATCCTTAATGGAAACAGCAGGAAGCTCTTTTGAAATAATATTTCCGATGAAGAAGGGCATTAATGGCTTAGGGAAGAGGAATTTTAGGAAGCAATGTATATTATTCCGCTTCAGAGCTAAGCTTGATTTGACCACCTCAGAGCCGGGACTATTCCTGAGGAAAGAAGGTGAAAATGCTGCTTGAGGATTCCCCCTCCTCCCCCCCCCCTCCGCCCAGAGCGGGCTCTTTCTCTTTGGAAGGGGCAGGCACTAGGCGTTTGACGCCAGAGGCAGGCACTTGCTACGTCGCTTTTCTGGAATCGGGATTTTCCCTGCGAGGGGAATCCTTAACGAAGAGTAAAGTTCCTTTCACTAGAAGGGGCACGTTCCCTTCATCCTCGGACAACGGAGGTGGCAGCCTGCCCAAGAACTAGCGGGGGCGGGGAGGGTTTGCAGACTCGGAGCCTACAAGAGATTTTAATCTCTTTACAACTCCGGTGCCATCTGGCAGCTCTGCGCTTCGGGCCACGCAGGGCAAAGGCGCCGGACGGCCAGATGCCGGGGGCTGGTGCTAAAGGAATCAGGGCAAAACGAAGGGGGGAGGGAGTAACCCCGCGGCTCTGGGTGCAGAAGGGGGGAAAAAACCCGCGGGAGAAGAGCGGAGTCGACCTGGTTAACCCCTCACCTTCCAGGTAGAAGGCCTTACAGCCGTCGTCTTTCAGGCGCTTGAGGAGCAGCCCCAGCACAGAGTCGCCCACCGTGTTCTCGTTCCAGTCACTGCTGCTCTCGTCATAGAGGACCACGGTGTCGGTTCCGCAGCGGCGGGCGAACTTTTCGCGCTCCTCCTCGCCCCGGGCGAAGAGGGCGCGCAGAGGCAGGTTGCCCTTCTGCAGCCGGCGCAGCATAATCCCCGGCAGGGCCACGTTGATGGCCGACTCGATGTGCGAGGACTCGTAGAGCTCCTGCGGGCGACAGTCCATCAGCAGCAGCCGCTCGTTGCCCAGCTCTAGCTGCTCGTTGAGCCACGCCACAGTCTTGCAGATTGCCATGTCCGATGCGAGAGAGGCTACCGGCGAGCGAAGCGTATCTAGCATGAGGAAGGACTCGGGCAGGCCAGGCTGGAGGGGCAGCTCCGCAAAGCGCCCCTATCCGAAGAGCCACGGCGAGCGGCGGGATGGAGCCGGGGGAGGGGCGCGCGGAGCCGTCGGTCCGAACTCGGTCCGTTGCTCGCTTTTTCTGGCTTAGCCTCCGGGTGAGGGTCTCTCCGAGTCGCTGTGCGCGTTGCAAGCCGAAGTGCTGCTCTCGTCTTGGGAGAGCTGCTTTCTCTGAAGGGTTGCCGGGGACTCCCTTAGTTTAGATACATTAGCATCGCCCTTTACTTCCTGCAATTACATGTGCAGAAGCGCTTTTTTTTTTTTTTTTGCAAAGCACAAGCAAATGCATTAAAGGTAGATAGAGCGATTTAACTAGACCCGAGGATGACCCCTGGGGCTGTTACTGCTCTATCTATACCGGTCCCATGTGCAGCTTTTCACGGCCCGGGCTCCTATTTCTTTTCTCATCTCCTGCTTTTTCTGCCTCCAGCCACCACCTCCTGCTTCTCTCCCTCTTTTTCTTTCTTTCTTTGCCTCCTATTTTCCTTCCTTCCTTCCAAATCCTCTTGTGGTCAATGTCCCTTTTAATCAACCCTGCACACTATCGCCCCTCTTTCAGCGCCAGGCAGTTCCTCAATGGATACAAACATGGAACGTCTCAATGGATACATTCTCTCGCTCGACCAATCAGCGCTTGCGGAAGGGGCGGTTGCCGTGGAAACGGGCCGGCTGGAACAGGTTGTGTTGATGAATTGTTAATGAGTTTGTCATTCACAAAAACGGAAAGGAATTTCCGCTCCGGATAAGCCGAGTGCAAACAAGCAGCAACAGCAGCTCAGCGGGAGGAAGGAAGAAAGGTGCGGGCGGGCGGTGGGGGGAGGACGGGGGGAGAGGGGAAGGCAAAACCACTAGAGCCGCGCGTCTGGGGCTCGAGTTTCCTTCTGTTGAAGCTCAAGCAGAGCAGCCCAGCGATTATACAACAAATGGTCCAATTAAAGGAAGAACAAAAGGCTCTCCATGTTTCCCCTACACAAACGCGCTTGTTAAGGGCACTTCACAGCCGGGTGTTTCATCCTGCAACTTGACTTGCGTTGGTCGTAGACCCCTTTCCGCTTTAAAATGTTATTTCCAGTTTTCCTTCTTCCTTCTCTCTCTCTCCTTGTGCCTTACTTTTCTTTTTAAAAAAAAGATCCCTGGTAGTTTTTCTTTGAACCTTTCATAGGTAAAGAACCCCTTGAAAAAAATCGCGTGGGTTTTTTCCCCCCTTCCCCCCTTAAGAAACCCAGCCAGCACACTTCCGGCTGTTCCCCAACGAGCCAAGGAATCTGAAAGAACTAACAGCGCCGCTGACCTTAAAAAGTCAGGAAAAAGGAAAGCGCGCTGCTGCTCCTATTCTGTCCTCCGGGCAAGCATATTAATCGTGGCAGAAGGGACTGGCTTGTCATTCCAGCCAAGCGTGGGCCGGAGTTAATGTGTAGCGTAAAAGAGAAAGTCGTTTGGCATTTCCTAGGGTGGCTGCTGGCGCTGTATTGTCCATTGTTCCCATAGTCTGAAATCTTATGGGAGATTTCCCCGCTCGGGCGCTCGCTTTCCTTGCCGTTCTTGGCTTTGGAAGGGGTAATTCCCACGCATTCACCTCCCTTTACTGCCCGTTGCCCGGTTCATTATTCGAAAAGCCATTAAAGACAAGGAAGTTAGTTCGGCCGTCAACAGGCATAGGCATGACCCGCGTTAAAATCCTGCCGCATCCGCTGTGGCTTCGATTTGCAGTCGGGGTTCAAGCTTGGTGTGTCTACAAATGTTTACTCGAAAGTAAGTCTCGCTTCATTCGGTAGGCCCGGCTTTCAAGGCCTCCCCCTCCCACAAAAAAGTAGGAGCATCTATGAAATAGCTGGTTTGTAAGGTGGCGACGAGGATATAAAGCTCTTCAAAAAGTTTAGCCAGCAGGTACCCCGTAAAGTCTGCTGAAAGAATGCAAAGTTTTCTCCATGCAATATCATCATGAAACCAGCCTGTTGCAAAATTGTGGAGGCTAGGGGTGGGAAGGATAGGTACAGTAGTGCAGTGCAGAGGGGATTTTGTAGCCAAACCCAGAGCTGCAATTTATAAAGGAAAGTGGGTGGGTGGGGAGGAGAAGAACAGAGAGCCAACAGCAACAATCCTAGCTTTATGCATTGAAAGCCAATACCCTCCACAGAATTCCCAAATTCACTTGCCCCTTTTCATAAATTAGCTCTGGCTCTGCCCTTCCCTCTAAGAAGGGAACTCTATTGTGTGAGTGTGTGGTGGAGGGGAGAGAGAAGGCTCCTGTATGATCCCCAGAAGATCTCTTGCTGTTAATACGGTACCACTTCTACCTTAAAAAGCAAATCCAGAATCTTACATTATCTGTGTCCAAATCCCTCTTATCTATAGAATTTTCAAAATAGTTAGCATTTTACAATATAAAAAGACACTTTTAAGGATGATGGCTGAAGACTTTTTTTTTTGCAAATTCATGTCATTTCTATCTATTTTGATACAAACATTAGGTAAACAATCCCAGTAGGTAGCTGCCCTTAGTCTGTCTCAGCTGTTTCTGGTGGGATCTGGTTGACACTTGATGAGAGACCAAGAGGAAATGTAGTTGTAGATGTAGGTAGACTGGGAAGTCATTGCAGTATTCTAAAACTTCTGAGAAAAAAAGTAGAAAAATGCCCATGTAATCCACTGTTTCTTGACCTTGCCATTTTTAAGATGTGTAGACTTCAACGCCCAGAATTTCCCAGCCAACATGCTGACTGGGGAACTCTGGGAATTGAGGTCTACACATCTTAAAGTTGCCAAGATTGAGAAATACTGATGAACTCACCATCTCAATTCAAGGAAGACTCTAAGTTGTTATAGGTAAGAAGCCTGGATCTTTTTATCCCACTAATATAGCCCTAAATTCTTATCTGGGGCTAGTCAAATATATTTATATCTGACTAGCTGCATATAATGCAGAGTTGCCCCCTATTTATTTCCATTTCCAAATCTCAAGCACATTTATCTATTTCCATTTTAATGCTAAATGAACGCAGGCTGAGTTCAGACATAGGCAGTATAATATTCCTCCCACAAGCAATATAGAACATGTGGGAGCCAAAGTTATATCATAGTGGAAACCAAAGAATCTCCTTAGAAACGGGGAAGAAGGAGAAAGGAGAATGTATTGTCAAGATCTATCCATAATATATCTTCTGACAACTGATGCTTGTCTAATGACAGTAAATTCACTGCGTGGCCAGGGATTGTCTGAAGGATACAAACCTCACTGGGATTTGATTGGACATTTAGTAGTAATAGATAAATAGAAGTAATAGATAAAATAAACTTTATTTTGAAATATGGTGCTAGGAAAGGAAGGTATTGTGATGCTATCAGTTTATTAGACTCTTTGTCATGCTGCATGTGAGTTACATATGTAAGTCATTTCTTATGAGATGGGCAGCTATATAAATGTGATAAATAATTTATCCAATAAAACCTACAAAGCTTTCAATAAGTAACTGGCCCCTCCAAGGAAAGAGTCATCACATTGATGAGAAGGGTGGCATATAAAATTTAAATAAATAAATAATGAAGCCTGAGAATTGGATTGTTTATGCTTTCTGTGATATTGTCTCCCAGTTTGGTGATATCTTGGAATGCATTTCCTATAATTTTCAATTTATTTGATGACTGAACATGCAGGATTGGAATTATGGAACTGTACTCCAATTTACTCAGAGGGCATTTAGTTGAAGAAGACTTGTAAAATGCTTCATCTATTTATCAGTGTTCTTGGAGTTCTCTTTTGGCATGAGAAAGAAATTGAACGAGCATAGCTGGAGTCCAGCTCTTCACTTTTAGTCATGTAGAAATCCCATTCCAGCAATTTCCCAGGCTCTTTTCCCTTGTCTGTATCATGTGCTATTCCAGAGCAAAATAGCTGAGAAAATATAAGTTCATTTGTGGTACTAAAAAAAACCACCACTCCCCTTTCAAGAAACTGTTTTTATCTTATTTAGGGAAAACTTTGCCATTGTCCTTCAAACACATTCCCCATAGTTTGGTGGATGGTAGAGCTTCAAGGTAACAAAACTCCTGTCTTTTTTACCTTCTAGTGTCCTACTCGGAAGAAGTAACAGGACAAGTCTGTTTTTTTTGGGAAGAAAGAAGAGAAATATGGGTAGCTTTCTTGGAAGGGCCACATAAATATTGGAAAGCTTTGTAGGCTTTATTGGATAATCTTGCATGCCAGATTAACCTCACTGACTGGAGGTTAACCATGAGTGCTCTGTGCAGCCAACCAAAATAGTCTCATGATTAAAACAGTTACAGTGGTTTGCAAAACTCAGTCATGCAGTTCAGTTCTTTATTGTGATTAATCCTCTGTCAAGTGAAGGTGGACAAGAAGGGAGTCACAATATATAGTCTTCATATACTGTGGGACGTATTCATGAAAACTGCATGCTGGTTCCAGTTGCAACAGCTTTTTGAAGCAGTCACTTTTTACTTTGGTAAGGCTGTAAGGATTGATACAGGTGACAAAGCCCACATATATACTATTAAAGATCTGAGGATAAAAAGTGACTGGTTAAAATTACTGCAAGCTTATGCTATTTTAATGATCATGTTGGAACTGAGGAAGAAAGAGATTGTTGCTGCCACCATCTGTACTCAGTTGTGTCGGTTCCCATCCCTTTCATCTTTACATAGTGGAGTTGTTGATTGAAGCTTGGGTTCTGTTATCAAAAATTAAATTGGCTCTAATCAATTTTTTTAGCACTTTGTAAATGTAACAACAATCTAATTGCTCTTTACTGCCTTACAATGATGCTATGTGTTCTGAGTAAGGCATAAGGCAGAACTAAATAAATTGTTGGTGCTATATAAAATAAAAAAGTTGGTGCTAAATAAATAGTTGGTGCTACAGTTGATGCTATATTTTGACAGACAGTCCTTAATGTGTTTTCTGAGGCCAATTCACAAAATCCTGTGATTCCAGTTCAGAAGTAGAGGCATGTATTTATTTAATTTATAGTCTACACAATCACAACCATGAGTGCCACGTGGAAAATAATGGCACTCTCAGTTCCATTTTTCTACCTTCCCCATGCCATGCAAGGGTGTACTTTCATCCAGTTGATTAAAATGTTCAGAAGTGTCAAAAAGCTTGCTTACCATTTTGTAATATTTTGGATATTTTTTTATTAATATCATTTCCACGTTGTGGATTGTGGACTTTTCCTCCAAGAATATTCAGCTTTTTGGCTTACTAAATACCCAGTCTTTTGCATAGTCAAGAATCTGAAAATAATACAGTTCTTTGTCATTATAAAACACTGTTCTCTCTCTTTTAATACACTTGTTTTCTTCAAGGTTTCCAGGCTCCCTTTGTCTCAAACCTCTCTCTAGGTAGTTGCTATGATTATCCCTAAGGACTGAAATCGCTGGAGGAAAGATCAAGAGCCTTTTTGTAATCTGGGGGAAAAAGTAAACAACAATAAAAAGCATTTATTAATATATTTATTTAAAAATCCATCAGGAAAGGGAAAAAATGTCATAATAATTCCATAGTTTTCACTTTAGGGATATGC